CATTCCCCATGATCATGTCCTACCAGGCCTCCCACACCCACCTCACCACCAATTTGGATCACTTGTTGTTCCTTTGTCCCTGGGTTTGTTAACACCACTCCCCCCTCCATGCCCGCCCCCCCGGAAGTGTCCGTCCCATTGTTTTCTCCTCCAGATTGTTCATCCAGCCTATCTTATTTAGATAGACCTGTGGAGATAATAACATGCACAAAAACAAGAAAGAGCAAAACCAAGCAACAATGTACAAAACAGCAACAAAAAAACCACTGACAAAGAACAAATTAAAACACAAGAAAGAAAACTTGTTAGTTCAAGTTTCATAGAAGAACCCCTATTAAAATGGAAAAATAGAAGATAATTAATTTCCAAGTATCATAGACTGGGATTGTCTGGAGCTTGAAAGGTTAGGTGAATCCCTGAAACTATTATCTTCATATAATTGTTAAGGCCATAAGTAAAACTATACACTAAAGTCTTAAAACCAAACAATTTAAGTAGTAAAGAAAGTCTACCTTAAGCTTATTTTATTTTAAAAATCATTGGGTCAAATATACAAAAAGATTAAAGATAGAAAATTCGGGACAGCGAGTTAACAGAGAAGGACTAAACTGGAAAAGGAAGGTATGAATGGTTATACCATTTGAATGTGATCAATGCCGGTGAATTATATACGTAGAAGTTGAATTCCTGCATGGTCCATATAGTCTCAACAACAAAAATGAAAAATTATCAAACAACAATCATATAAAATAATATACTATTTCTTGTCCACCAAACTGAAATCTTTTTAATTTGTTAATTTCACATATTACTGGTGGTAAAAGGCTAGCCATCAGATGCTAACATACATGTAAGAAACATTAAATGATGAATATAAAACAAACTCATATGAAAGGTTGTCTATGTAAGTCAAACAATATGTATGATCTCAACTTCCTCAATAAAAAAGTATATACTTACGTGAAAGTTTTAAAATATGGATTAAAAAGCCTACAAGAAACCACAAACAAGTAGTTGTGTGTTTATGTAATGTTGGAAACTAAGTAACTGGTATTTCAAATACCAACAAGGGAAACCCAAAGTGAACAGGTTTTCGCTGAGCTTCCAGACTACGAAGGAGCAATAGGCTGTACATTTCTGAAAATTGGCCATTGAAAACCTTATGAACAAGGACAGAACACTGTGAGATACAGAAAACGTCCTAATAACAAAACATTGTCGGATATAGTGGTTGAAGATCCAGCCCTCAGGTTGGAAGGCATTCAAAATATGACTGAGGAAAATTGCCTTCTTAAAATAGAGAAGATCATAATAATGAGAATGTAGTAAAGCCTTCGGGACTTTCATTTGCTGATGCATTGCTCCAGATCAATCTGTTATACAAGACCTCTTTAAAGTACTAATGGTCAGTGACATTTATTTACTTTTAGGAATAGGTGTGCCTGATCCAAGCTATGGCATTTTCCATTGTATGTGCAAGTTGCACACTGAATAAGGAACACCAAAGAATTGATTCATGAGAATTGTGGTGCTAGGAAACAATAATGAAAGTACCATGGAATGCCAGGAGAACCAACAAATCTACCTTTGAATAAACACACATAGAATGTGCTTTTTGGAAGCAAATATGGTAAAACCTCATCTCATATACTTAGGACATGTTATCAAGGAGACCTGCCTTCAGAAAAGGACATTATGCTTGGCAAAATAGATGGACAGTAAAAAAGAGGAAGCCCTCAAGGAGATAGATTGGCACAGGGCCTGCAAAAATAGGGTCTAAAACAACAATTTGTGAGGATAGTATAGGTCTGGGCACTATTTGATCAATATAACTCAAAACAGACTTGATGACACTTAACTATTCATCGCCATCAAGATGATTCCAACTCATAGGGACTGCATAGGATCAGGTAGAATTGATCCTGTGGGACGCTGAGACTAACGCTTTACAGGAATAGAAAAACCTCAAATTTCTCTCCTAACAGCTGGTGGTTTTGAACCTGCAGTTAGCAGCCCAATGCTAACTGGGGCTCCTACTACTACTTTATACACCTGAATAAAATATTTTTATACATCTGCAATAATGAGATAGTCATTTCTTACCAGTTACATTCTAGAATACTTTAAATCAGGATCAACCAGATCGATTATAATAAAAAAAAAAAAAGATTTCCTAGGGCCTACTTACAAACTCAAGCAATTATTTTTCAATAGTTCTTTAGCAAGCACTTCCTACATCCACAAGTTAGTATCCAGTGGAATTTACATTTCAATGGGAATAAGGTACTGAAGCAAAATTTTAAATATATATATAATTGATAAAAGACTGATGTTCTATGACCATCACCTTCCATCTTTTTCTCAACAATTTGAAACTTCCTTTTCTAATTATCTTTATGCACTTAAACACATACAATTGGAAATCATTTATGTAGAAAAATACTTTGATGCTGCTGTTGAAAATGTTTCCGTGCATTTAAAATTTTATGAAACAAAAATAGAATCAGGCTAACAGTAAAAACTCAATTCATGCAGACAGACACACAGAACATACAAATGACAACAACTGTTCATTACCATCCATATCAGTTTCCATTTCTTCTCCTTCTTGGATAGTACTAGGTCTCTGGATCTTCGGCTTGATCACAAATGGACATTCTTTTCGGCACAAGTCTACTTCATGCTAAAACCAAGCAAAAGGTAATGAGAAAATCTTGCATATATTCTATGTATTAAAACGTTATAAAAATGTAATAATGGAAGAAGAACCCAGATAGATTACAGAATTGGTTTCTAGATGTCCCTTTAGGGGTTCTTAGGATAATTCCTAGGCTCCCAGTGGGTATAAAGTGTATGAAATGTACTTTTTGTGTATACTACTACCTCAAGTCTATAAATGAAAATAGAAAGTCCACTATGGGATTGAAAAGCTGCCATGTCCAGGTTGGTGATGAGGTCAACCACTCTAACGGCTCTGGTAACAAATGTTATCTGGTCCTGTTCATCGCCAAGAAACTTTATGACCTGTTAGAGAAGGGAAAAGAGGAAAAAAACAATCAAATGAAGAGACACAAGCTGTAAATAATTCACTTTTGGAAACATGCAGTGTGGGGCCTTAGGAAGCATTGTATAAAGAACATGTGTTTGGCAACTGTTCTTAGTAAATGATAGTTTCATCACTTCAGAAACACAATTTGCTAACGGGTAATAGAGATGCCATTTGTTTCGCAGAATTAAATCATTTAACTATGTAGAGACCCAAAAGCTGGTGTGCAGTTTCCTGCATTGTATCACAATTTACAAAGTACCCTGACATAGATGAGGTGACGTCAAATGTTCATGGAGACAATCAATTATCTTATTAGTCCATTTTTCCAAGAGCTTTATGAAGCTCTCTGTATTTTCTCCAGGGTGATGATCAAAGTTATGACCGGATATCACAATGAATTAACTAGTAACTAATTCATAGTAATGGAGATAACAATTCCTAACAGTTATTAGTGACCTAACTATAAGGTTAATATTAGATCAATTAAACATAACTTGTTGATAATCTTTCTTATGCTACCCGTTCCTGGGGAACTATTCCAAACTTGCAACCCTACAGTCTCTTTCAATTGATTTCCCTACAAATGCATAAACAGATAAACAAGAAACCAAGTAGAGTACCTTTAATAAGGCTTCCATCATCCCACAGGATACTAAGGCTTCACCACCAGCATCATAGCTGGCTAGATGGTATAAAAAAGAGAAGAGAGCTGTAGCAAACTGGTGAGGGTATGGATCCATTGAAGGATCTGTAAGGGAAGTTGGCAGAGGGAGAGAAAGCACAAGCTCAAAATTTGTTATTAACAGGATGTTAAAGGCATAAAACCAAAAAAAAAAATTGATGCCCGCTTCTTGCCAATAACCACCATCAAACTTACCAATCATGGCCTGGATACAGTTTCGCACAAGTACAGGCAAAAATCCATGGTAGGAAGCAGTTCCAGTACAGTCAATAATACTGCTGAGTTTGGGAGTTCTCTCCAGGTGGACAATTGATGTTAATGTTCGTAATGAAGCAGCTTTAATCTCCTATGAAAACAGTAGATAAATATTCAAGGTGTCAAACAAGAAGTAGAGTGGCTAAGACTTCATCCTAAAATAAGTTTATTTTACTAGTAATTGCTTGGGAGTGATAAAGGTCAACTAGTGAGTATAACCTTGAAAGTCCAACAATGTTAATTTTTTAACAATACTTGAAAGGCTTCCCTTAAGTAAAAATCCTGATATACAGAGAATTAATAGTACCTACCATAAGTTGCTTATCTGTTATCTGAAGGACATCTACCAACTCCTCTATCAACCCGTTATACAAGATACTGTTTGCTGACTCCTGCAAGGCATTGGAATAAACTGCAAAAGGAGAAACAAACACTTTAAGCAAGAAGGCAGTGGTCAAGCCACTGCCCATGACAACCCTTTTGGTACCTACTGGTTCTGGGGAAGAATTCCCTACTAACCAGCATTGATGAACAAAGTCACTAGATTTAGTAAGATTTAATGAACTCTGGTGATGAGTCGAAGTAATCAACAAGCTAAAGATTCTCCTGTTAACAATATTGATGGTCTTAAACAGTGTTTCCCAAATTGGGAGATACTGCCCCTTTGACGGCAATGGATTAATCCAGAGGGGTGCAAAAGCAGATATTCAAACTATGTCTTGAATTCTTAGCCATATTATAAAAAGTTTTTAATTGCCAAGAGTACGCCAATTAATTACGCCCCCCCCCGAAAAAAATACTTAGGGAACCTACGATATTAAACAAGGATTTATGGAGATGTAAGTCAAAACGGGGAAAGATAAGTTAATTCTTAATAATTTCACTATTTTAAATAACTTGTCTATGCCTTGGACACAGGTGGGCATTTCAGTTTCTTCATGTTTTTGTTTTTCACTATACATATTTCTACAGTCGGTAGAATTAATGAACTAAATAAAAAATTTGTGTGATACTGAAGTATCACTTCAAAATCACTGTAATGCAAAAAAAAAAAATCACTGTAATGCAATTTCCTTGAATCTCACATAGCTAATATTGGACGGACATAGAAGTTACAAGTACATACAAAGCCAGACATTCTATTAGGTATGAATTTAAATATAGGAATAAGTGTTTCATAGATCAAAGTTTAAATGTTGTTTTTAAAAATTAATATGTAATGAGGGCTGTTAATAACAGTGTAGCAGCTGTCTTTTTATGTCTTCTAGATGCCTAGCCTGAGCTTTACAGATTTTCACTTACGCTTCATATAAGCCTATAAATTAAGGACTATGCCAATAAAAACAAGGAAACAGGCTAAAAGGGTAAATACATGGCTAATAAAACTTGCAAAAGTAGGGTGAGAGTCAAGCAATGATTTTAAAATGGTGTACTTTATTCTCTCAAACACAATCAAAGAAGCTAACATACAGAGCTCACTATTTCAAAATTATTTCCCCAAAAAGATGACAGGAGAAAAGGAGATGGCAAGAAGAGATTAGAGGTCAATGGGAGATGACAACTTGCAAACCCTTTTTTAGAAAGGCCAGAACCAAGATGAAATCCACGTGATATTTTAAAGAACATCATATCCTATTTCTGGTTGGTTCAACATTAAGGAGCTCCAAAGTAAATCCATGAAGAATACTAGGAATATTGGCAATTTTGCAATTTAATGTTAATGTTCTTAAGTGCTGTCATTAGGCAATTTCAACTCATAATGACGCGATGTGACAAAGCACAACTGCCTCAAACAGCTTTCTAGAATGTAACCTTTTAGAGCTTTTCCTTCCTTTTTTATTGTTATCAACTCCCCATTTCTCCCCCAACCTCCCACTTCCCAAGTCTAGTTACTGTCTACAGTTACCTACCCTGGATTTCATATCAAGAAAACCAAACAACCCCTCCCCTCCCCACAAAACCAGTAACAAAATAAAATAGAAAAACCTCTATCCAAAAGAAAGCAGAAAATAAAAATTAAAACAATTTAAAAATGGGTCAAAAAGCGGAACAAACAATGACACAATTTAACCTAACTATAATTTCTAATGCAAGATATTTCTCCTTATGAGTGGTTAGATGGCTCTGAACCACTCACCTTTTGGCAGCAACTGAGCACAAATTGCTGTGCTAACAGGGATCCTTTAGTTCAGTGGTTCTCAACCTTCCTAATGGCACGACTCTTTAATATAGTTCCTCATATTGTGGTGACCCCCCACCCCAACCATACAATTATTTTCGTTGCTACTTCATAACTGTAATTTTCCCACTGTTATGAATCGGGCGACGCCTGTGAAAGGGTCGCTCGACCCCCAAAGGGGTTGCGACCCAGATTGTGGACCACTGCTTTAGTTGGTACCTAAGTTGCCAACAAGGCTCATAACAAAGATTAATGCAGTTTAAAGGATATCAAATTTATATTGCCTGATCATTCTGTTATAGTGTTCTTCTCTTACCTAATATAGAAATTGCATGCAGTCTGGCCTGAACTGCTTGCAATCGCTTCCTGTGATTAGAAAATCCATGGGCCAGTCTTATGTGTGTAAATAACAACATCTGAAAAGAGGTAAAAACTTACATTAGGAAACAATTAAAAAAAGCAAATATTCTCATTAAGAGGTAACTTCTACATGTTGGGCTGGCTTGGGAAAATGTTTTACTGTTGTTATTTGCTAAGGTTTCAAGTAGAATTAGTTCCATTTTTATTGTTTTTCCTGCTTCATCCAGCAGACAAAAACAAAAAAGACCTAAGTAAACCTTTCCTCCTTTGATATCCAAAATGTTGAGAGAATTAACACCATTTGTTGGATTTGCATGGTGTGTCACCCTGTTTGTTTTCCTAAAATCCTAAGAATCTAGGTATTTATTAAGTATTGTCCTACTAAGAGATTGGAAAACTAGGGCTCAGGTGCCAAGGTCTGCATGCTTCACTGATCAATTGGAATAACCAGACTTAAATTAAGACATATAATACCTGCTTATCCTTAGGAATGCTGTACATTTTGGTAAGAGATTCCATGATTTCAGAAGGGCTTTCAGAAATCTACATTACAACAAAAAGCCAGTTAGGAAATAGAAAACTAGCCAAACATTACAAATTTAGCCAAATGTCAAAGATTTCTCTTACCTTGTCAAGTTGCTCTATGTGAATATAATGTAGTGTGTTACTAGTTGTCTGAAATTTTAAAAAAAGATAACCCGTTAACAGTCATTGAATACTCTAGCTTCCCCTGATGTACAACTACTAGACCCATCTGAAAATCAGGATGCCACCTTAAAGTGAAGTGTAATCAAATGCTCCTAAACTCAATAAAACTTTTAAAATCTCCAAAACTATTTATTTCATATGGGCATATCTTTCAAAACCAGCATCACCAAAATATAAAACATACGAGGGGGTACCCCAAAAAAACTGTGTTCAACATCACAACAGTTTCTGTGGCATTTTTCCTGAGTAGGAAACAAAATTTCACAGCCGCATACTGTTCTCTTAAATCAGCCACCACAAAAAACGAGGTTCAAGCAAAACTGCTTTTTCAAGGGAAAAAAAAATCACTCTGCCCAGAGAGAACCTTCCCAGGTGACGCCACTGAGTGCACTAACTCTAAGCGAGTTGCTTGATGCTCGCCTAGGAGGGGAAATGCAGACTAAGCAAGCTCTGCCCCACCCAGCAAGATTCCAGGTTTTTTTTTGGGTACCCCCTCATAGTCAGGCACATTTTGTAATATAGTCAAGCACATTTTATATCATTCCTTGTATATTTTCAATCCATCACTACTACGACCTTGATATTCATAGCAAAGAAATAAAATGGTTTCTCTATAAATACAGGTGAAAGCTGTTTTCAAAGAGCCATTAGCCTACAAAATGATGGTGATTTTATATAATAGTGGAAGAGAAAAGGAACTTATTTACCACATTAATTCTAAGCTAAATTGAATTTTGCTACTTCCCCAAATAATTTAACCAGTTAATTTAAATATATTGACTTTTTTATAAGCAAAAATCTTTGGTTCTTATACGTTATTATTTAGTCTTTAGCTAGAACAATCTGAGTCAGCCCTAACCAGAGTATCACATACATGGACAAGTTTTGCAATTAAGGCTGTAAAGAATTCACAAATCAAAGGAGTACCCCACCAAGGGTAGTATTCACTTGCGAGAGCCCCCAGCATATGCCAGGCCCAAACCTACTAGAGCTGGACACAGAAGGAACACTTGCTATTGAGAAGCTACTAGAGTGAGTAGCTTCTCAATAGCTAATTAAATAGGAGTCTTAAAAAATTCAAACCAAGTTATAGAATACAAACCCTGCCACAAGCCTGAAAAAGGCAACTCACCCTTTTCTCGATTTTGACCTCGGCTCCAGGGTCTGCATAGAACTCGAAGTGTAGTGTAGTTGCACTGGGTGGGTATTTCTGTATATAAAGCACATGAAAGAATCAGATATGGAGCCTTCAAGTTATTTTAGATGATGTAGGTGTCATAGAAAGCCATCACACCTGTGTCGATAGGATCAGCTATCAGGCATCAAAGAACAAAAAAAATCCTATCATTGTGAATGAGGGGAGTGTGGAGTGGAGACCCAAAGCCCATCTGTAGACAACTGGACATCCCCTTAAAGAAGGGTCACGAGGAGGAGACAAACCAGTTGGTGCAATGTAGCAATGATGAAACATACAACTTTCCTCTAGTTCTTTAATTCTTCTTCCCCCCACTATCATGATCCCAATTCTACCTTACAAATCTGGCTAGACCAGAGCATGTACATGGGTAGAGATAAGAGCTGGAAACATAAGAAATCCCTCAGCAACCATGATAGTAGTCATGCCAGGAGGGGAAGGGGAAGGTGGGGGAGAAAGGGCGAACTGATCACAATGATTACCTATAACCTCGTCCCTGGGGGAAGGACAACAGAAAAGTGGGTGAAGGGAGACATCTGACAGTGGAAGACATAAAAAAACCCATAATTTATAAAGGGTTTGTGAGGGAGGGAGGGTGGGAAAGGGAGGGTGAAAAATGAGGAGCTGATACCAAGCATTCAAGTAGAAAGCAAATGTTTTGAAAATGATGGCAACAAGTGTGCTTGACACAATGTATGTATGTATGGATTGTGATAAGAGTTGTAAGAGCCCCCAATAAAATGATTTAAAACAAACAATAAAGAGATTAAAAATTAGGCAGAATAAGGAAGGGGATGGGACCAGATATAAAGAAATACAAAAAGAAAAGCATGTAATTGAAAGGGGGAGCAGATGACAAGGTCTGCATATGGCCTCCTCCCTGGGGGACGGACAGCGGAGAAGTGGGTGAGGGAGACGTTGGATGGGGTAAGATATGATAAAATAATAATAATTTATACATTATCAGGGGGTTCAGGGGGAGCAGGGAGGGAGGGGAAAAAATGAGCTGACACCAAGGGCTCAAGTGGAAAGCGGGTCTTGTGAGAATGATGAAGTCAACATATGTACTAATGTGCTGGATACAAATGACGTATGTACAAATTGTGATGAGCTGTATAAGCCCCTAATAAAATGATTATGCAAAAAAATGGTAAGAGCACTCAATAAAATGATCAAAAAAATAATAGTCAAATTTTCACTTGAATTTGACATAAAGGCAGGTGTGATGAATACGAAACCATTATTTCTCCTAGATACCAACAATAGCTCTCAAATTACTTTGTTGCCTTACTCTTAACACTTACAGTGCATTTTGTATTTAATAATTTCTGCTTTACTTGAAATCCTTCAATGGCATCACATTGCATCTAGAAGAAAATATAAATTTGACCCACAGAATCCTAAACAATCTGAGCTTTGTAAATTTCCTAGACTTTGTGCCATGCTGCCCTCCACACAGAACACTTTAGCCGTAAACTTCATCAAATAAAAATCATATCTAGATAGTTACTTAAGAGATCCAACATTTTAATAAACATTGGAAGGATCATTCTTGTGTACACGTATTGTTAAGTCTAATATAGCAAAATAAAGTGGTTGAAATTCTCTATTCGAATAAAAAGTAAACAAAGCAAAACAAGAAAAAGAAAAAAAGAAAAGCACACAGGACACTAAGTTCTCAATTACCCCTCCATGAAGCCATTACCACATCATGCTATACTGTTCGGCACGCCAATAATTCTAGTGGAAGAATGCATATGGGCATACTTTCTGGGATCTCTTATTTACCTTCAAACTTATTCAATAGATGCAATTCCCTACCAAAGAGTTGGGTTGATTAAGATGGTAAGTAAAGCACATAGACTGATTTTCTGAGATTCTTCATCTACCATTGATGGCTGACCTACTTATTGACTGTTACCTAGGGTGTGTTACATCTTAATGGAGCTCAGGCTCATCAAATGCACTCCATCTAGCACAGCGGTTCTCAACCTGTGGGTTGCGACCCCTTTGGTGTGTGTGTGTGTGGAACGACCCTTTCACAGGGGTTGCCTAAGACCATTGGAAAACACATATTTTCGATGGTCTTAGGAACCGAGACACCGCTCCTCTATCCATGTCCAGCCAGGTCAACCCACATACAGATACGCCCACATACGAGTACATGGTGTGAAGACTGTTACCCATGCTACACCATGCTTCAAGACATTTCACTGATTTGTAATTAGAAATATTTCACAATATAGAATTACATGTTGTTCTGTGATTAATCACTATGCTTTAATTATGTACAATGAAAATATACCCTGCATATCAGATATTTGCATTATGATTCATAACTAGCAAAATTAGTTATGAAGTAGCAACGAAAATAATTTTATGGTTGGGGATCACCATAACATGAGCAACTCCAATAATGGGTCGTGGCATTAGGAAGGTTAAGAACCACTGATCTAGCATATGTCCTTTATAAACTAAGGCTCAGGAAGACTGTAGATCTGTAGTGTCTAGATCTGCTAAGACACTCATAAGCCAATGAGTTACTTACCATCATATGCAAGTCTCTGCAACATTCTGCAAGTCCAAAACCATTCTCTTTTCCACCCCAGCTCTTGGAAAAGGAAAAAGAAAATGTTAAGACAGGGTTAATGGTAACCTTGTGCACAATATTGACTTAACGTATATACTCGTGTATAAGCTGAGGTTTTCAGCACATTTTAAATGCAGTTTTTGTTGTAAAATTAGGTGCCTTGGCTGATATTTGGGTCGGCTTATACTCGAGTATACATGGTAATGGGTGGATATCTAAAGAACAGAGTTAAAGACTCGTGGAGTAAATAAAGTCATATAGTAGTATCTCCCCCAAAGGCATAAAATTATGAGCTAAGCCATATAACTATGAATACATTGTTTACATTGTCAGCATATTCAAAAAAATCTGTGGTATTTCACAGCTTTACTACAAAATATCTTGCTTTGTGCTTTCACAATGCAATTATTTTAAAATAAATACAACAGTATAACCAATCATCCAATATAAGGGAACAAATACATGGACTTATAATTCAAGCAAAAATGGTCTGTCCACAAAGGTGGTTTCTCCAATGACCCAAATTTCACTTCCCTGGGAAGATGCTGTAAGGAGGCTTTAAAAAAAAATCATGAAAAGTGTAATGAAAAGAAATTGAACTTTCCCACAAGATTTTCCAAGCACCCTCAAAATAAGGTCGTATACAAACAACTGTCACTCATTGATTTCCACATGCCTGAAGATATGCTTGTCGACATTTTAGTATCCCTCAACAGCTGTTAATTACTGATGTTCTGACGTTCTTATTCCACAAGTTGGAATCACGTACTCACTGTAGCCCCTCTTTTTGACATAATCTGGGTTGCAAAGCAAATTGTCTTATTAGTACTGTAACTTGGCACAACAAAGTCTAATCCCCTGTCAACAAGTACTAGTCATATGTACAAAATGTCCACTTTTCAACAAAAAATTGAGGCATGCAAAATAACAAGAAAACAGCTATTACTTGGTATGTATAGGTTCCCAATTTGCATAACATATGCACATCATTTCTACACACTAATTCACCAAAAACCAATTTCACTTTGATAGTCTATTCCAGCTGATAAGTAGAAAGCCTCATCTTTCTCCTATGGAGCGGTTGGTAGTTTTGAACTGCTGACCAAGCAGTTGAAGGACCAAGGCATAAACTACTTCACCATCAGTGGTGAAATCACTTCTAGATAAAATAATAATGTCGAATACAATACAAAGAGGACTTTACTAGTCTGCTTAGTCTTTTGACCACTTAATTGCACCCCTCCCACCCCTGCGCCAGGTCAGTCTGTAGTTGGTTAAGTTTGTAGATGGGAGAATTAACAGTATGGACCATATACAAGAAAGAAGAAATGAACAGAAACAGTTCCTGAGGATCTCAACAAAGTGGATTTATTAAACAAAGACTTTAAACTTAACATTTTTATCATAAACATGTTCAAAGACTTAAGCGAGAGGAAAAATACTGAACAAAGACTAATAAATCTGAGAAACATCATGTAAAACCTATATACATATTCCAGAAGTTTCTAGACATTATGAAAGTCCCAGGAAGCAGCAAAGGGGCAGAATGACTACTCAATAAAGAAATAATAGGGGGGAAAATTCCAAAATACAAGATATGAGCCTACACTTTCAAGATCAATGAGCTCTAGAGAGAATAAAGGATTATCTACCATAAGACATTTATGCTCAAACTATTGAAAGGAAAAACAAAACAAAGTATCAATTTTTCTATTTCTGACAAAAACTATTCTTAAAAAAATTAAGGAGAAAACAATGTATTCTCAGAAAAAAAAGGTGAGTTCATTACTTACTCTACAAGAAACTGAGAGCCCATCAGGATGAAATTAACATTAGAAAGTAACTCACAACCTCGCAAAGAAATAAACTACACAATGAAATTACAAAAATAGAAAAACTAGTACTAATTAACTTTGTTAACTTCTTGCCCATGTTTTCAAAGACAAATACATAAAATAACAACTATAAATCTATGTTGATGGGCACACATTGTATGCAAATATAATTTGTGGCAATAACATATGGACTGGAACTATGGAAGAACAAAGTTTTTATACATTATTGAAAAGAAATTATTAGCTTAAACAAGTAGTTAGGTATTACTATATTACTTGTGGTTCTCAGGGCAAACACCAAGAAAACAACCCAACAAAAGATAAATAGAAGACGTTAGTAACAAAAAACCAATTACACATAATAGATACACACAACCCAAACTCACTAGAGACCTTGTAAGACAGGGCAGAACTACCTCTGTGATTGTCAGAGACTAACCATTTATAGGAGTAGAAAATCCTATTTTATTTGCCCCATCGGAGCAGCTGGTGGTTTTGAACTGCAGACCTTGCAGATCAAAGTTTGTGTAACTACTACGCCACCAGGGCTCCTGATACCCGAGGGGGCTTTCAAAATGGTAATTCTTTGTGTAGCAAAGTTTAGTTATCCATTTCTTTCCATCTTGTTACTGTAAACAGTACTATGATGAGCAACAGTGTGAGTGTATCTCTGATCTGTTATAGCTTATATACCCAGCTAGGACATAGAATTTCTATTCCCAGTTAAGGTAGTGCACATTTTTACAGCTCAATCAGCCGTGCATAAGGGTTTCGATCTCTCCACACCCATTGTCATTATTTGTTATTTTCTGTTTTTTTAAACTTCCCTGTCAATTCTCAGTTTAGAGTGGTATCTCATTAGTGTTTTGAATTGCATCTCAGGTAGTTGTGACTGTGAGCCTTTCATGTTTGTTGGTTGCCTGGATGTCTTTGGTGAACTCGCTGTGCTATCTATTTTTAAACTGAATTCTTTATCCTTTTCGTGCTGATATTGTAATTTTCTACAGAGATTAGATCAGCGGTTCTCAACCCGTGGGTCACGACCCATTTGGGGGAGTTGAACAATCCTTTCACAGGGTGTCGCCCAATTCATAAGTGGCAAAATTATAGTTATGAAGTAGCAACGAAGATAATTTTATGATTTATAATACACAGGAACTGTATTAAAGGGTCCCAGCATTAGGAAGATTGAGAACCACTGGATCAGATCCTTGTATATTTTATCAACTGTCAGTTCTCCCCACCCATTTTTTTTACTCCTTTAATGCACATTAGTGTGCATTTTTAAATAAAGTTCCAGTAATGTGTTTTGTCTTATACTTTTTTGTTTTTTTGTTATGTTTTGTAATATGCTTAGGGTCCTTACATTTGTGCCTATTTTCTCATTTGATGATTTTTAAGTCCTCTAATTTGTTTAAATGTTTAAACCCATCCTGAATTCATTTTTGTATATAGGGCAAGGTATGGGCGCTGTTTCATTCTTCTGGAAATGCAAACCCAATTTTGTCAGTGACTTTTGTTGAAGTGACTGGGTTTTTTGGGGGGCATTTTGTTGTCTGCAGGTAGATGGATTTGTGTTCTCTAATGACCCTTCCTTTGTGGCCTAATATACGGTCTAGACAATGTCCCATGTATACTAGAAAATAATATATATTGTACTTTTGTTCAGTGGAGTGTTCTGTATACTTCTTGGTGGCCAAGTTGATTATGTTTACATCTTTGTTCTTAAGTATCCTACTATTGCAGTGGTCTTGTCTATAACTTTCTTCGACTCTTTAATACGTAGTTGGATACTTTCAAGGTCTGTCATAGGGTTCACACGTTTCTTCTTACAGTCGCATTCTTCAATACTTTTGTATTGCCCTTCGTCTTTGGTAATGGATTTGGTCTCAATGTCTATTCTAGCATAAATTAATATTACCACTCTTGTTTCCTAACTTCAACAGTTTTAGTGGAATACAATTCACACAATCAAAAGTTCAATCATATCGAGCTATATATAATCACAATCCATTTTAAACCATTTTCTTCATTATTGTACTCAGTTATTAGATCCCACTTTTTAAATATTCTTATTACACTGGTGTATTTTTTCCATTCCTTGGTATTTAGTCAATTTTTGTCTTTGTGCATACATAAGGTGCTTTTTTAAGGCAGTATGCTATCTCTTGATTAATGCATCTCATCAATTTACATTCAGTATCCTCATTCATATATGTGGATGTGTTAATTTAAAAAAATGGTATTAATAGTTTCTTTGTTCATCATAAATTTCTGAGCCAAGCTCCTTCTACTTTTAGACTGTCTTTTTTTGCAGATTTTAAAAAACATGTGGGGAACAGAAGGATTTCTCTTAAGTTGTCTCCCCAAAATATATACCAGACTTAGCTGCTTAAGCGTGACTGTACAATAGGCAGCGAAAGTAGGTCAGAGGTTTTTCTCCCTAACATTGGCCATTTGTGGTGGCTAGATTATTAGTCTGACTCACCCTGAATAAGACCCACTCCCTTCTGATAAGGATAATGGTGGTCTATTCACTTGCAAGAGAGGGCAAACCCGCCCAAGGGTGACCAAGGTTAGTTAGCCATTATCAGCTGTCTAGATCAAGCAGACACCACTGCCTATTCCACAACCAATGTGGGCACACCCCTGGGTGATTCCCCTCCTATTGATTGTATTGCCTATGTTAATATCCCTCCTTGGTGACTCAGGTTATTGTCCACTATCAGGGTACTTGCATGCCTCCCAGAATAGTAATTGTCTGTTTTATTATGTGAGACATTAGAGTGATCAAACTTGTTCTAGAATGAATTGTATTGCCCCTTTCTGTGATGTATGACTCTATGATGCGTGGTTAGCAATAAATAATGAGGCTCCCTGGTTCTCTCCAGGGTGGCTGGCCAGAGGGGGGCTGGCCGAGGGTGGCGGGAGAAGGTGACTAAGGAAGATGAAGCAGCGGCTTCTTCTCTGATGGCTAAGCCCCCTCCACGAGGACCATCAAGCCTAGTTGAGGTGAGCAATGTTGCTATGTATCATGCCTGACTGTATTATTGTATTATCTCTCATGCTCTCGATGACTTTAATATAATACTTATATATCTCAACTGTACAATTGTGCATTACTGAACCCAGAAGTAGTATTACTGAACTCGTAGGAGTAGCAGCGGGTGGGGGCGGGCCCCACACCCTCCCACAGCGTCAATCATTTATTTTTTTAATTTAATACTACAAAAACAAATTGATATTTTGATGTCTTTCCATTTGTTTTGAGGTTATCTTACTTTTTCCAAGATTTATGAGGCACTTTTCTTATCCTTACTTACTAAACACCTAGCACATACCTGACATTTTAAGGTTCATAAATGCTACCTTTAATCTTCAAATCCCTGTTATAATACCAAAACATTAAGTACATAATAAGAAAAACTAAAAAACACTGCTACCCCAAATCACAGAAACCATCATTAAGCAAAAATATAAAATGTGAACCTATTGTCTCTAACATATCCTACACCTAGGTCTACCGGGATGACTTAGAAAGTTACTAGAAAAACTCCATTAATTTTTTGAAGTCCCTCATATACATTTCTGAATCTGGTGCTTCTATCACTCTAAATCTTTCCTGAAGAATTCCGTGCTCTTCAATTTAAACCACATCAAAATGACAGTTTTGGCATTCTTGACAGATTTTTGTTTTCTTTGTTGCTGCAACAAAAAAGTATTAAAGGGGAAAATAAAGGCTACAGGGTGACTGAGATAGGACTTAAAAAAATCATTTTCTTGGGGACTCTTACAGCTCTTATAACACTGCATACATCAATTGTATGAAGCATATTTGTACATATGTTGCCATTATCATTTCCAAAACATTTTCCACTTGAGCTCTTGGTATAAACTCTCTCCCACTCATGAGTCCTTGATCAATTATAGTTATTATTATTTTGTATCTTACACTGTCCGTTGTCTCCATCACCCATATTACTGTTATTCATCCCCCCTGGTGGCAGGGATGGGCTATATATCCAACCTTGTGAAATAAGACTTCTTAAAGAAATTCTCATAGGACAGCCTTTTCTACCCACAAACTATGAGCAGATACATTGTCATGATGGAAAATAATTTCTCAATACAGTCTTTTTTCTCACTGATTTACTTTTCATTTTCTCAAAATTTCTTCCCAAAGAAGTCCTATGTCCTTTAAGAAAATCTATCAAGATTTAACTTTTTGGAATAAAAAAACAAAACAAAAACCTGTTGCCAAGTTCACTGTCTTGAATTAAACTGGTCCAGTAATATCCCTCAGAAAGCACTCCTTTAATTGGATCCTTTTGTGAAGGCACCCTATGGTGAATTTTGTCTGTAGCCAACCATTAATCACAGAGCACAAAAGATGAAAGTACAGTGGCTCAGACTGCCAAACAGGCCTAGTTGCTGTGAGTTTGATAATGCCTTGGGATGCTTAATAATTCAGAGAGAGAAGAGATACTTACAATTAATGATTTATTACACACAGCATGTCATTTATCCACCACATCATAGTTTTATTGCCCTAAAAATGCCCTGGGCCTCCCTCTATTGTTTCTCCCTTCCTCTGACTTCCTGCCACACATCAAGCTCTATAGTTTTGCCGTTTCCAGATTGTTATAGGAATCATAGTGTGTTATGGTAACTTTTTCAAAAAGTAATAACCATTTGAGCTGCATCTTTTTGGGCGGGGGGGGGGGGGGTAAAGGGGAGCAGCTTTTCACGGGTAGCCACATCATTTCTTTTTTATTGATATACATACTTCACTGGATGGACATCGCACAATTTTATTACACTCCCTTAGTCCCAGACATTTTGGGCTGTTTTTCATGCTCTTTTACACATTTTTCTAATGGGTTACTTCTGCACCACCTTCATGCTCTTTAATAATGCATGAATGAGCCCATGGTTGTGGCTATTAATGTCATCTATCTCACAGAGAACTTGCCTTCATTTTGCTGATCCTCTACAAAACATGAAAAACTTACTAGGAAGTATTCTTTCCCAATGACATGTCTAAAACAAGCAAGTCTTGCTACCCTTGCTTTTAATGAGTATCTCAGTTTATGTTTCTAAGTCAGTTCTTTCATCTGGTAGTCCAGTTTATCCGACCATACAATTCATAGGTATGAATTCATGTCTTCTTTTTCTTGGATAGATTTTTATTATTTAAACATTTTTAATAAATCATTTTATTGGGGACTCTTACAACAATCCCTACATAAATTGTATCAAGGATATTTGTATATATGTTGCCACCATGTCCAAAACATTTTTCTACTTGAGTCCTTGGTAACAGCTCTTTTCCCCACTCCCAATGTGTGCTTCTTTTTCCAGTCAAGCTTTTAATTGCCTATGAGGTGGTTGAAAAGATCATGATTTCAAACAGGCACCCCAGTCAAAGTAACATCTTTCTTTTAACACTTTTTATTGTGATGATGTTCCATTTCTTTATGCTGAAGTGTAATTCACAAAGAAGGTTTTAGTCCTTTAACATCATCAGTAAATTATTATACTGTGAGTGGTATTCCTTTAATTGTTCCCTTGTGTACACTGCAAATATTTTCCAGTATAGTTTAAGTGGCCTCCCAGTTAATTTAAGAATCCCTTTTCCATATAAGATTATGTGAACTGAAGAAAAGGTCAAAATGTTTTATCTTTCAAAGAAGAAATTATTCTAAAAGCATTTATTTATAAGACCCTCCTTTCCTCAGAAATTGAGGCTCAACATGAGGCTATTTAATTCAGATACATTAGTGTATTCCTTTGTCAATTACAAACAACTCCTAAATTACCATGGCTATATATTTTGTCATCTGGTACAAAATGCATTCTCACTCATTAGCAATAATTTCTTAGGTACTGTGTTACATTTTCACTGTCCAATTTATACACTTAACAGACACTTCACTAATGCTATCTAACTTGCTACATCCCACCCTCAAAGTATCCTGAATAATATAATGTTATAGGCACTCTTTTGCTGTCACCAGACACTAGTAGTATAGTTAAACACTTGTATTTCTCCTCAAGTCAACTTGTCAGTTGTACATATAATTATGTAATTTAAATACTGTGTAAACCAAGACAACTAAAAAAAGGAATTATCATTTTATTAAAAACTCATCTGAATATTCTATAAACACTAAAAACCAAGCTGATAAAATAAAAATGTATCGAATTAGGGAAAACACATTATGGGGTAAATTACAAAACTTAAAGTTCTGCATTTAGCTTCCTTTATAAGTACCCTTAGGAACCCTGGTAGTGCAGTGGTCATTAAAAAGTCAGGAAAGAAAGAAATTATTTGAGTGGGTGTCAGAAGAGACTCTAAAATTTGCTCTTAACAATAGAGTAGCTAACACATGTGGAAGAAATGATGAAGTCAAAGAGCTGAACAGAAAATTTCCAAGACAATGCCAAATATTACAATGAAATGAACAAAGACCTAGTGTTAGAAAAACCAAACAAGACCAAGTTCAGCATATTTTAAACTGGAAGAATTCAAGGAAAAAAAATCGGAGCCTCGAGTAGCAAAATACTGAATAATCCAGGAAGCATTAAAAGAAGATGGAAAGAATACAGTCCATGTACCAAAAAGTACACAACATTATATTTCATGAGGTAGCATGTAACCAAGAACGAATGGTCCTAAAGGAAGAAGTTTAAGCTACCTTGACTACTTGTACATACAATCTATATACATTTCCTAGCTTCCAAGTCATTTACTAGGTATTTCATTAATGTGCTCAATTTCATAAAATGCCTTCGAAGCAAATATTATGTACCCCACGCCTCCTTTTAAACTGTTACATGGGGATTCAATGCATGAGAAAAAGGACAAAGAATGGAATCAAGAAATAGGGAGGAAGTGAGATAAATGATGACACATTGAGGGGCTTGCAACATATACATTGAAAAAGTCACCAAATTCAATTAGACCAATTAGCTTAGGAATTTCAGTCCATCTTGACAGTGTGTGAGAAACATCAATCAAAAGGAACTACAGGCTTGATTTTTTTGTGCTCTTTCACTCCTCAATCATGACTCACCTCTGCCAAATGTTGCAACCGGGTTAGCAGTGGGGTTCTCTTGTCAGATCCAAGGCGTGTGATATAATTTGATCTTTTGCTGAATACATACAGAAGGTTAAGTACAGCCAGAACCACTTGCATATCAGAGGAAGCCAATAAAGTTGTCAAATGCTACAGAACAAGAAAAGACAAGTTTGTAGTATCAGGCACACTTGGTTTTGAAAACTTACTTATAAGCCAAGGGTTTATTATGATCTTACAGCCCGTCAGACTGTCTAATAGAAGAAATGTTAACAGCAGTTAAAAATTACATAGAAAGAAACTGATAACAAAAGAGAAATGTGATAAGACAACTGTGGAGCTCAAGAATTAAGAAATGTTAAGGCGTCTTTTAGTCTGTAAAGAATGGGAAGTAACATTAATTTTAAGCTCTTTTCAATGTCCTTCATGACAAATATAAAATTGGAACTCACTAAAACACAGGTTCTTTTTGATATAGTCAAAATATCAATAGCTATTATCCGTTCTGTATATATAACTAGTATAGTATGTGCTTAAAAATTACCTGAGAGTGATTATGTTTGGTACGCTAATACAATGAAAATTTACAAATATATTGAAGTACTCAAGTCAGGGTTAAAATCAATGTAATTCAACTGGAAACTAACCTAGGAATTTTCAAATTTCTGGTTATCCAAAAGATCATGGACTTCCTCTCAAAAAGAATCCATTTCGTTTTCATGGCCTACTAAAAGCTGTCTGCTAGGTCATTATAGTTCATTTATCCCATTATTTTTACCAAAATCGTTTTCTTTCTATGTCTTTGTTCTGATACTGTTCTCAGTTTTTTCCTTACCGGACTTAGGAAAGCTGACACATGATTTCATTTACTTTTTAAAAATCTAAAGCTAGACTAAAAGAGTTTTGTATGTTTTTTACTCAGAAGCTTGCTGACTCCCATGCACATTTTATTCTTTAAGGACATATAGAAAGCTACTAATATTTACTCTGGTAAGAAGGGGGAGAGGGGACTGTAGAGTGGTACACGGATTTCAAAGTGTAGTAAGCACATTAATGTCATGAAAATCAAACCATTTCTAATAATGCTTAAGGTAAGAATTTGAAACAAAAAATAAATTCTTGAAAATGTCCTGGAATGCTTCCAATATGTCCATTATTACCTTTCATTCATTTCCTAAGTCTTAAAACGCAGGGTGAAGATGATAGTGAAGAACTTTCCAAACAATCCTGTGAAAGATTTATCTATAGATGTAAAATATTCTACATCACTGTGACATCCTGAAAAAACCACAACTCCATAATGAAAAGTAAAAAGTCAGTCATCAGAAAGAAGTATCAATTCTAGTTAATAACAGATCAAATGCTTGAAATTCCCCTACCTCTATGGAACTGTACAAATGCCGGGAAAAGCTGTATTCAATGAGCAAAGCTGTGAAGTTCAACACAGCCAAGAGAAGCATTTTCAGCTGCTCTCTTTCTGGCCTATCACACACGAGCATCCAGGACATATTCTCCACTGTCTGTCCAGCATCTGCCAAAATTCCATCGAAACGATCCAACAAATCCACCCAGTGATATAACTCGCACTGAAAGGGAGAAAATGAAAACTTAAAAATAAGGTAAAAGTACCATGCAGGTGCCTTTTGACCAAGCTTTCTTGCAATAGACTGCTTATTGAGAACGAGACCTAGAGGAGGTCACTTCCCCCATCTTCACTTCTGTTCAACTCCTAACCAGTACAGAAACCCATACAAAAAAGATCACACCCTGAGCTATGTGGGCCTCAATTCATTGCTAGACCTAGCAAGATAAAATATGATTAACACTAGGTAAATGCCTCAAAACTTGTAGTTCGGTATTCAGAAAAAGAATTCTAACTACATTTTGAGTTCTACAAACATTTCCATTGGGACCTATTTGATCAGTAAAGTCCATCTTTCTCTAGTTATATAAAGAAAAAAGTTTTACACTACAAGTTAAAATCAAATTAAGGGTTTAAGATATTTTGCTATTGTCTGTGCTATTATTTCTCATCTGGTAAAAATGCTTTCACAATTTTTTCCTCAAAAATTTCCTTGGCAACAACCATTCAGACTGAAAGCCATTGGACTAGAGGTGCAGCAGGTATACAAGATGCTTATTACATGATTGTTAAATTAGTCTACCCCCCGAGGTTTCTTTTCCCATATCAGTGCATATAAAATGCCATACTAGTCTAGTGAATTGTCTTTTAGGAGGATGGTGTTATAAGAACATGAATAATTCTAATAGACTTTCATTTCTTTGAGCAACGTCTAATGAATGTTCACATACCTTCCCAATATTCCATGTTTTGATCTGCTGTAGTTCCAAGAGGAGTTGCTCATCATTACAAACTTTGAGTTTGTCTATTAAGGCTCTGCAGTCTGCAGGCTGAGGAAAACAAAGTGGTTACTTACAAAGAGTGCTTTGAATTATGAAAAGAGATGGAAAGAGGGAGAATGGGAAAAGAACAGCTTAAGGTCCACATACTCATAAAGTGACTTTACAAAAAACTAAAATTGAAATCTCATGATAAAATATTTTATAGCCCAACAATCCATCTTTGCAATTTTTTTCAAGCCATGAATAAATCTGTAGATGTAGGCAAAATACTTGGAAGGGCCCAGAGAGTATAAATGCAGGAAATAACTTAAAGATCTCTTTTTAAATTAAAGACTCTATCAGGTGAAAGTTCATCAGAACTGATGGAATCAGAGGAATACTGAAAAGCCTTAATGAATTCACAATTAAAGGTGAAGGTAAGTATTAGCTATGTTTCTATGCAACATTAATGAGGGTCAAGAGCTTCTGAACTTTATAAAACTAGGACTCCGTTCTTATTTGAGATCCCCAATTAGATTTCTTTACATACCTATACTCTTATATTGATGTAGAAGCCTATTGTCAGGTTAATAAGGAGTAAATTAAGAGTTTATAGTCAATGTTCTGAAAGTGAAGAGTAGGGGCAAGGAATGAGGCCTGGGATCTAAAGCCTTCTACCAATGAATGCCACTGGGAGAAGTGTAAAACTTGGTCTTCTATCTCTGTAAAGGAAATATAACCAGAAAATCCATTGTCATCAAGTTGACTGGCTCACATCAATTTGACAGGACAGAGTAGAACTGCCCCACTGGGTTTCTGAAACAAATCTTATAGAAGCAAACAGCTTCATCTTTCTTCCATGGAAGGGTGTGGGTTCAAACTGCTGACCGTGCCCAATGTGTAACCCACTACCACCATCAGGCCTCCTCCTTAAAGATAGTATAGTATCCTGGGAATGAGCCTGGATTTGAAACAAAAAAATCTGGGCTCAGTTTTTGGCTTCATGCTGCTTGATGATAAGTCGAACCTTTCCATCAGTTTTCTTACCAGAAAAATAGTTAATAACTACCTCAGAGACTCAAAGCTCCCATCTCTTTATGGTACCTACATAAACCACTTGCCCCACCTTAATAGGAGCTACAATATTGAGAGGCAACATACTATTTTTAAAAAGGCTGGGCGTTAGAATTAGGTCACCGTTGAGTTGGAATTGGCTCGATGACAGTCAGTTTGGTTTGGGATAAGTGCTCAGTTACAGGTGACTCTTTCCGTCTTTGAAATGTGTCATCTTCTGAAAATAGAAATACCACCACCTATATATTTAGCAATGCCATTAAGGTTAACCCCAAGGGGCTCTTATTCCTTGGAGGCCATGTGGATTATTGGCCATGTGGACTGTTGGTTGCAGCCAAATTCATTGTCATACCAGGAAATAAGCTCGACAAAGGGGTCACTGGGGCAATGCCAGCCCCAGCATCAGAGGTGGAAGAGTTGGGTGCACTGTTAAAGTCCCAGGCCACAACCTAGTCTTCATTGTAGCACAAGATGCCTTTTAGGGGACCATCAGACACCTTCACCACCTTGATGTCATCATACTTGGCAGCTTTCTCTAGGCAACAGGTCAGATCCACAACTGACATAACTAGGGATGGAAACACAGAAGTCCATACTAGTAAGTTTCCTATTCTGCTCAGGGATAACCTTGTCCATAGCCTTGGTAGCACCAGTAGATATGAGGATGATATTCTGGGCAGCCCACAGCCATTGTGCTAAAGTATCCCCAAGAGGCTACCCATAGTCTTCTGGGTGGCAATGTTGGCATTAATTGTGGTTATGAGTGCTTCCATAATGCCCCACTTGATGTTGGATATGTGTGTGGTGTTCCCTGAGCAGCACCTGGAAAGAATCAGAAGCCCCAAGGGACATAGCAAAGCAGGGCGTGTAATAGTGGCCTGGCAGTCACCAAGGCTCAGCCCTTGGGACCACCAGCTTTGGCAACAGCACCAGAAGAAGAGAAATGCTGTCAGCTGCCGGGGAGTCTTGCTCCAACTCGATCACCCAACACACTGAGAATATCCCATCCCTGAGAGAGAGCCCAACAATGTGTGTACTATTAATAAAGCACACTGTACCCATAAATAAACAAATTAACAAAAAGCAAACCAAAGTATCTAACTGATATGAAAAATATTCAACATGTCCGACGCTCAGTAAGAATCACACTGACAATGCAATAACAAAATGGAGGGTACAAGCAGACGAATGTTGTAAAGCCAATAAACTTTTAAATATATATATATTTGTATGTATATATGTATTATATGTGTGTGATACAAATTAGTACTGTGGAATACTTTTCCCTCAAGCTATTTAATTTTTTTCAAATATTAAACTAACAAAAACTCTCACACTCATTATTGGGAGTATTATTATTTTCCTTGAAGCTACAAGCCTGTGATCTTGGAATGTACAACCTAATGCTGAGTTAGAACCCACCCAGAGGTGCCTCAGAAGATAAGCCTGGCAACCTTAAGGCAACCTGTTTGTGAAAAGTCACAGCCTTGAAAACCCTACAGTGTTGCATCTCTGAACACATGGGTCCTCCATGAACGCACTGCTGTTCTATTACCAAAACCGTAGCTATTGAAAACCCTAAAGAGTACAGTTCTACTGAAATACATAGCCATACCATGAGTTGGAATAAAAATGGCAACGTTAATGTTTCTTAACCTCAGAAGTTCAAACTAGCTAACAGAATATTGGATGGAAGCTTAAACTTTATTAACCTAAAATCAACTGACATTGCCACTCAATACACAATGTAAAGAGAAAAAAATTGAGAACGATCCTTCAACTAGTCAGCATTTGAATCTATTTTTATCCTTTCACTTATACCTTATTGTGTTCTAGGAATAGCAGCTAGCTATAAAGACTAGTTGAGGGCTCACTTCCCATAATAGTCTTTATTTTTTTAATTAAGGGAAAATCAAGAAAAGTTAGTTATTGTAATATGTTTATATGAGTAATGGCATATTTGAAAGATCAGTATGACTAGCTGATCACAGGGACTTTTTCTGAAATAAAAAAAGGCAGGCAGAGCAAAATTTTGGATACTTACAGCCTCAGTGGGTGTCTTTTTCAGTTTAGTTCTGTCTACTTTCATGTTTTCGATTATATGCTTTATGATCTGAAAAGAAAAATTTTAAAGATCTTAAAGCAGCAATCTTCAAATATACATTCATTGATATATACAATACTAAGTTTAAGAGTATGGAAAATACTTGAAAGTAAAAACTCTGGAGCCATGACAATTCAAGAGGCACAGCTATGACGTAGGAAAGGGTATAGAATTTCTTCAGATAACTGGCCATAACCTTGAAACTAAATTAACTCAAAATTAAAATGACCACCCTCCCAAACAATTTATCCTTAATGGAAAATAAATGAGCACAATGTTGCCTTTAAAAAAATCATTTTATTGGAGGCGCATACAATTCTTATCACAATCCATACATACATCCATTGTGTCAAGCACATTTGTACATTTGTTGCCATCATCATTCTCAAAACATTTGCTTTCTACTTGAGCTCTTGCTATCAGCTCATTTTCCCCCTCCCTCCCCGTTGCCCTTTCCCTCATGAACCCTTGATAATTCATAAATTATTTTGTCATATCTTACACTGTCTGACATCTCCCTTCACCCACTTTTCTGTTATCCCCCAGGAAGGAGGTTATATGTAGATCTTTGTAATCGGTTCCCCCTTTCTACCCCACCTTCCCTCCACCCTCCAGATATCACCACTGGTCCTGAAGGGGTCATCTGTTCTATATTTCCTGTGTTTCTGGTTCCTACCTGTATCAGTGTACATCCTCTGGTCTAGCCAGATTTATAAGGTAGAACTGGGATCATGATAGTGGGGAGAGGAAGCATTTAAGAACTAGAGGAAAGTTGTATGTTTCATCGTTGTTACCCTGAACCCTGACGGGCTCGTCTCCTCCCCGCGAGTGCACAATGTTTAAGAACACCTCAAGATGGAAAAACTCACAGTAACTCTGCAGTGTGTTCTAGAAAACTTTGTAATTCCACCCGTAAGTATTTATCTAAACAAAATTGGAACAATATACAGAAATATTCAGCCATAAGATTCCATTCTGTGTGAGCATTTATAAAAGTGAAAAATCAGGAAGGCCCCAAAGCCTAAAGTAGGACTGGTTTAAAACAGATCAGCCAATTTTAAATATTATAAAAAACTATGTAACCACAAAGATGTTCTTGTTTAAAAAAAAATCAGTTTTTTTAACAACATACAATTACAGCACAAACCAATTATAATTTAACATCTGCTCTGTACTATATCGCTAATCATGTAAGTTTATCCAAGAAGTTAAAACCCATTACATGAAAAAAATTTGTTAACTTAAAAAATTTCTAAACAAATACCCGGAAATAATCTACCGTCTTTGTTAGAAGTGCAACTCTGCACAGCAAGCAACTACTTTGTGTAATAAATATGCCTTTCTAAACTTAGGCTAAAAAGAGGATCAACTTTGAGATCATCTAAATTATTAAACTGCACAATCTCAGAGCCCACCTAAAACTGAAGAATCTAACTGCATTTTAACAAGATCCTTGTTTAAGGTATTAAATCTATTAAAATTTGAGAAGTTCTAGATTAAGAATAAAGGCTCAGAATCAGAAAACTCAGGTTAGAATATCTCCTGTATCACCAGGGGACAAATCAGCCCTTGTGTGCATGCCTGTTTCCAAAACTGTGTTAATTGGGGTAAAAAACCTCCCCATTTCACAAACATTTTCATCATGTACTGAGAGCAACAAAAGTAACCTTAAAACATAAATCATCCTATTATTCCCTCATGTAAAACTTTTCAACTATTTCTTTAAGATTATACCCAAACACTGACCATGACTTGCTGGGTCCTAACATGACTTGACCACTGGAGTGCCCTCAATCCTTTTCTGCAAAACCATAATTCCTCTAAGTTCTTGTAAGGTGCCGCAAGTTCTTTCTGGACTTTAGGCTTTCACAATGGCTGTTCCCACCAGAAAGTTTTGACCCACATCTTATTCTTCCCATATCAGGTTCTATTTAAGGAATTAACAATTAAATTGAGATACAAAGCTTTCCAAAGCCACCCACCCTAACACTGGTTCTATGGCTACATTTCTACTACAGTAGCCTGTTATTCCTTCTATAACAAATAATCAATTCAAGGTACTGGTTGGATTTTCTACAATGTTAAACTCTCAGCACCTACGTTTATGTAAGATTATCCACAATAATTCCCAAACCAAATCCACTGCCACTGAGCTAATTCTAACACAGCGGCACAGTTGCCAAGACTGTAAATCTACAGGAGTAGTCTCATCTTTCTTCCACTGAGCAGCTCCAAAAAGGCAGTGGGGACCATGTTCATCTCCTCTGATTTCCCTATTGCCACAGGTAGAGGTTACTCCTTTGTTCTTCACCTAGTCTTCTTCCCATGCTACTCTACCCTACAATGGGCTCAATGCAATGGTCACAGAGAACTCAGCAAACAGTAGGGATACAGCCAATGGTCCACAGCAGCACCTTTCCCTCAGGCAGGAGCCAAATGTCTCTAAAATCCTCAACCTCTCTGCCATGTGCTCTGCCTCTGTGGGCCAGGAAGCCAGTCCTCTGCTTTGTCTCAGTCTCACTGTCTCAGCGCTGCTCCTCTGTTCTGTCTCATGATCTCCTTTCCTATACCTTTTCTCTGTGTTCATGCATTTGAGATGGTTCTTATATGCAGATGAATAGATTTGTTTACCTATTGATCTGCAAACAAAGGGCAGTGACTTGGCTCACATCCTCTACACCAGTTCTCAACCTTTCTAATGCCGCGACCCTGTAATACAGTTCCTCATGTTGTGTTGACCCCCAACCATAAAATTCTTTTCATTGCTACTTCATAACTGTAATTTTGCTACTGTTATGAATCGTAATGTAAATATCTGATATGCAGGGTGTATTTTCATTATTACAAACTGAACATAATTAAAGCCTAGTGATTAATCACAAAACGTGCAATTCTATATTGTGAAATATTTATTTCTAATTACAAATCAATAAAATGTTGTCTTGAAGCATGGTGTAGCATAGGTAACAGCCTTCACGCCAGGGTACTCGTATGTGGGTGTATCTGCATGTGGGCGGACCAAGCTGGAGACAGATAGAGGAGCAGTGTCTCCGTTCTTAAGACCATCAGAAATAATGTGTTTTCCGATGATCTTAGGCGACCCATGAAAGGGTCGTTCGACCCCCCAGAGGGGTCGCAACCCACAGGTTGAGAACCGTTGCTCTAGACTAAAGTTCACACCCCTCTACCTTAATCCTATTAGCAGAGAACTCCCTCCAAAATGGGATTATCTGCCACAAGCATAATACATCACATAAAAGATTACGGCTAGATGAGCCATTTTAATTGATTACATCTCAGCAGCCCACAGCCTAAATCATAGTGTCACAAGAAATTATTTCCCATATGTTGTTGTTAGGGGCTATAGACTATAGAGTATACTCATAACAACTGTATGTACAACTGAACAAAACACAGCCTGTTCCTTCCTATGCCCTCCTCACAATTGTTCTGTTTAAACCCACTGTTAAAGCCTCCATTTCAATCCATCTTGTCGAACTTCTTCCTCTTTTTCTATATGATAGGTATAGGTATTTTAAGCATTTGTAGAATGGAGTTCAGGATAGAAATCTAAATTAAGAATACAATTTGTGATTGTCAGTTTATTCGAAGCCATGGATCTGAAGTTGATCATTTGTAGAAAAGGAAGACTCAGATGCAAATATGAGAGAATAGAGATAACTTGACAGACAAGTTACAGTAAGTTGTGGGAGCAGAAACCAGTTTGGTTTGAGTAAGGTAATCTGTCTACATAGATGTCATGTCTAGAACTCTTTGGAAAAAAGTTGGCAGTAAAGGGAAGCACAGAATCACAGAGGTCATTAAAAGAAGACAAAGGAAGTAGAGATATTAGTTCATATTATAAGTAAGTATAAATTATCCTGTAAAGGAGACAACAGAAAGAACTTAGCCCATAAGAAATCTCAGGATAGGAGACCACACCATTTACCCTCCCTTTCACTAGTCCACTGTAACATAACAAAAAGGTAGGTTTTGAACAGCACAAATATTTATCCAGAACTTTAACAAACCTCTCAAAACTTCATTAGATATCTCTTATTATGCTATGCTTACACTGCACCCTATATACCTATTATATTACTTCCCTATTGAGAAAATGTCTGCCACCATACAGGGAACAAAATACCTTAAGGGAAAAGAAAGGAAAACTGTATCAGTGGTTGCCTCTAGATGGCATGCTAATAGTTTTATTTGAGCTTCAAAGCCTTTCAGATCCAAGTGATAATTATAGGAAAAAGTATATTCAGAGTATTTTCATTCACAAACTTTTCTTAAGGAATAAAAAATAGTGGCTCCTGAGCCGAAGGGCATGCACCAAATTAAGAACACTATCATCGAAACATGACTGTGATGCCTGCTGCTAGAATAAACAATAATTATCATTTGGTTAATTGTTGGTAATTAAGAGATGCTACAAACTTGTATTGGGGCAGTAATTAATCAAAATTAGCTTAAATTTTATATAGAATTCCCAGAAAATCACCCCAGCAGTTTTTAAGCAAAACCTGAATTTCTGATAGTTCACTGCCAATTTACTGCTGTAATCATTTTTGAATTACCGTATATATTTGAGTATAGGCCGTTTCCCAGAACATTTTAAAAGCCGTTTCTGTGGTAAAATTAGGTGCCTCAGCTGATATTCAGGTCCGCTTATATTCAAGTATATACGGTATCTTCAGGAAAAGTCTACTTGTGTATCAATATTATTTAATAATTCCCACACTGTTGTGTATCTTTTCAGAATGGGCACAGGTAAGATCTCTTTCTCTTGACCAGATACCTGCCTATCAAAATTTTTTGTCAGAGATTACTGTGAACCTCTAGCGCTGCATCAATTTATAGAAACATTTCACTTGGTGTTCCAATGCCTTCAGCCTTGGTTTTTGCCAATGCTTTTGGTGCAGCCTAGGTTCCCTCCTTCAATACCACTGGCCCTTGATTATATGCTACCTCCTGAAATGGTTCAAAAGCACCTTGGTAATGCTGTG